ATAGCCCTCGTGTAGCTTTGCGTGAAATTCCAAAACAAACAAACAAACAAGTTCAGCCCAAGTCACAGAAAGAATCTACTCGATAATGAAGAATGGTGGCTACGTAAACCTTCCATTATTAACAAGTAATAAGCTTCATAGAAAAAAGAAATGCGATTGAAAAACTACGTTATCTTTTTTCTATGTAACTGTTCAAGTTAGTTATTTCTATAAAAAGAGCAATGCTTGACTTAAAAAAAAAAAGCCATGATCTTAGTATATTACAGAAATGAGTTATGAAAAATGTTGTTGTGTGTTTTAGCGTATAGTCAAACAATGGGCTATCTGCACGCTGTCCACCGCGGGAATCGAACCTTTGATTTTTAGCATTGTAATCTCGGAAACTTACCGTTGACTCACCAGGGGTCTTGTTTGTTTGTTTGTAATTAAGCACAAAGCTACACAATGGGGTATCTGTGCTCTGCCCACCACGGGTATCGAAACGCGGATTCTAGCGCTGTAATTCCGCAGACATACCGCTGTGCCACTGGGGGCTCACCAGGGGACTGATCAGAAATAAACTATATTTCAAAGAAACAGGGGAACTTTCTCCATTCTCTGTTCAGTGTTTGGTTAAATATGTGAGTGCTCTGTATCTGTAATTACACAAATCAACAGAATGAACTTTTAAACACGCTGTTGATTCCTCCTCTACCAACCGGCAGAATCAACATTCATCATGGAGATTCCTGTCGAAATAGTTCAACATCCAAAGTTGGCCAGATAAATTAATCCACAAATAAGTTCATTAAGTCTGTTTTTGTTTTTTGTCTTTTTGCACTTCATGTAGCCATTGTTGTTATAAGACTACAAATTAATTACTTAAATTAAAAAAAAGATTGCTTTCCTAAGGCAAGTTTACAAACAAAACAAAACTTTAACTAATTATATTGATACATATTCACCTGTTATGTGTTTTGTTCCATCAGCTCCTCCTGTTTCTCCTTCTGCTGGTCGAAGAACTCCAGGCTCCATTTTCTGCAGGTGATTTTCTCTTAAATCTAAAGTCAAGTATCTGATATCTGCTAGGTAGCGAAGTAATTGAGCTGGTAGTCGAGCAACACTTGTTCCGGTGATTCGTAATATAAGCTCATGTGTGTGATGTAGGCCTAAAAATGCATCGGGTAGCACATGCTGTAAGTTGTGCCCAGTAATAGTAAGATCACGCAGCTTGGCGCCAAAGGTCCACTGGATCTGATGCGACAAAGTTGATTCTTCAACTTCCACGACCACGCGTTGGAGTGAAACTGACTTGTGAAGTAAATCGTGAAGTCGAAATGATCGAACGTTAGCGAAGGTACTGGTTTTGAACGTCTCCAAAAACCTGATAACACAGAGAATATGTGGATTAAGGTTGACTTGTGAAGTCAAAATGATCAATCATTAGCGAAGGTACTGGTTTTGAACGTCTCCAAAGACCTGATAACAGAGAAAATACGTGGATTAAGGTTGACTTGTGAAGTCAAAATGATCAATCATTAGCGAAGGTACTGGTTTTGAACGTCTCCAAAGACCTGATAACAGAGAAAATACGTGGATTAAGGTTGACTTGTGAAGTCAAAATGATCAATCGTTAGCGAAGGTACTGGTTTTGAACGTCTCCAAAGACCTG